TGCTCCCTAGCGCTGCAACCCTCACAAAGTTGGAGAAAAAAACGTTGCTTTGGGGCCTTTTCTTAAGAATCGCCCGTCATGCCAAGCGAAACGTCGGGGCGTGGGCAGGATTGAGGAGCTTTTGGGAAAGCCGGGCAGGAATTTGAGCTATTCACATGCCTCCTCCTCGCCTGGAAGGTGGGAGACACCCTCTGCCACGGGCTTGCGTTGCTTAACATCGGTGGTGCACCGAAACGCCCCGATTTGCAATAGGAAACTAAAGCTGTAGATCCAGCACCGTGACAAGGTGAGGAATGAACACCTCGATCGCCCAAAGCACAGAAAAAAAAATTTAAAAAGAAATTAAAAAAAAGACCCTTCATTAGTGTTTGCCACGAGAGACTGGGCTCGCCCGGCTGCGGCGCGTGGCGGCGCCCGCCTCAGTTCGCCCAGGATTTGCGGTTCTCCGCGTTTCTCTGGCCCTTCTCCGCTCGCACGGAGCCTCCTTCCGCCTTGGCCAGGGCCGTGAGCGAGGCCAGGTTGGAGGCCGAGGCGGAGAAGCTGCCGCCGCCCCTCCTGGCGTCTCCCTGGAGCCGCAACCCAGCGCTGCGGCGCCTCGCCGGCCCCGGCGCCTTCTTCACCCTGCCCGGCTTCACGAGCAGCCCGTAGCCGGGGTTGCACCTGAAATACTGCTTGCCCCCGATGGAGCCGTCGTTCTTGCCTGCAGGAAGAGAAGGAAAAGCGGTTCTGTCAGCTTAATCTGGGTGATTTTGTTTCAAGGCAAGATGGAGAGAGGGTGTCTGAGCTGCAGGGTGAAGGCGGCAGGTGAGTAGAGATGGAAGTGGCCAGAGATACACTGGGAAATGCAGAACTCCTCCAATGGCCAGAGGATTAAATAATTGAGGGCTTCCAACCAGAGTACAAAAGATAAGAAATATTGGGTGGTTTTATACCTGATTTCTTTCTGCTGATGCATTTCTCCCTTTACAGTATTTAAAACTCCCAGGAGCGAGTCTGGGTGCTTGGGCAGTTCCCTTTCTTAAAGCAAAAGCCAGAAAATGCAGCAAATCTTCAAATGATGTGGCCATCCCTTTGGTTTTATGTGTTCCCTTCTCTCTGCTCCTATTTCCATGGTGGACCAGATAGACCCCCTGTGGTCAAGGACTCAGACCTCAATCCTGGTTTGTCGTGACAAAGATAGCGGGTATTTGGCCATATTTCCTAAATGAAGTGTCAGGGGCTTTGGTAACCAGGTATGGTCCAACAAATCAGAGACTTAATCATTGTGGAAACAGAAGGAAAAAAAAATATCCAGTAAGATGAGCAGCTGAGACCAAAAACCCCTTTGCCATAGCTCCCTCCATGGCCAGCTAAGCTGGTGCTCACCAGGTTAGTGCAAACAGATTAACAGATCTCACACCACGGGGCGGGAAGGTGACCTTCCAGGACTCAAACGAGTCTGTAAATGTATCTATATATTACATAAAGCATGAATTCAGGAACGAGAATGGGGACTTGAGCTCTCACACGCGTTCCAGCATGGTTTGCTCGCTGGAATGGCAAAATCCGGAGAGTTTTCTGTTCCTTCAGCTGAAAACACACCATGTACTTCAGCTTTTCCAAGCACAGCACGTGCCAGGAAGGTACCTGCTCATTTAAACTCGAGTACCAGGTCCTTGACACCACTGACCTTGGTGAGCGGTTCCAACGCCAGCTTGGTTAAAAGAATTAAAAGAGCTTTGTGGGTCCTAAACCAACCTTCTGTCAAAGGTTTCGGATAAATAAAGGTTCAAGGAATAAAGGTCTTTTCAAATTTCTTTTCAAATAAATGGGTATGTACTTCTAGATACTAAAGCGTATTTTACCTGAAGGTAAATCCAGCTCCACGCCGACCCATGTTCCCTCTTGAAAGTCTGTGGGACCAACGTATCTAACGATGCCCGTCTTATTTGCGCCGACTGTGACATATTCTCCCTCTTTCAGCCACTCGGGAATTTCATTGGCATCTTCGGAGTCAGAAGCCACTTCCAGTTTCTCGTCTGCCTCCTCTGCTCCGTTGTGGCCCAGTCCTCGTGCGGAGGGGGAGCTCCTGTCCCCTTCCTGCAGCTCTTGGGCGCTCAGGGGACACGTCGCATCGGGCCCCAACATGCTGGAGAAGGACTTGAGCTCGGACGTCTTGATTTTCTGGATTTTGAAGGGGGAGGCTGCAACGCTGGGTTGGGACAACGGGTCGGGATGAAGCTGTGGTTTGGGAACCCCCAGTTCTGAGGCGGTTTCTGCTTTCCCAGGGGCTTGTCCTGCCGGCTCCACTGGCTGCCTGCGTGGCAACTCCTCCTTTGGAGCGGAGGTAGGAAGAAAAGGTTTTGCTTCGGAGGCTCCCGTGGCATCATTCACCGGCTCTCCCGGAGCCACGGGAGAAACCAAATGCTTGGATTTCACAGCGTCGCTTCCATTCACCTCAGCGCTGCCTTTGCGCCTCGCGTGAGCACCGGGAAGGC